GGTAAAGGGGTGAAGAAAAAGTATGGGAAATGGTTTAGAATCCGAGAAACGGGACCTTTTCCTTGCCCATTGGTTCGCACTAATGCTACTCTCGCCGATGCTGCCCTCGCCAATGCTTATGCTTCCTTTTCTGAACGGCTAGAGACCTGCGGCGGGCGGTCAGTCGGTGGGCGTGCCGCGTCGATAGCGGCGCGGGGATGGCCATGCTATCGCCGAGGCATATCCTTCGCTGCGAATTGCGTGTCGGTCCGCACCCTCAGAGGTCTGCCTGTCTTTCCACTAGGCAAATTTCCCTTCTATGACCTTCGACATTATCGTGGAATCCTCCTTCAAGCATTTCTGCCTTAGGGCTTAGAAACAATGCGAAAACTGAGTATTGATCGTATACGCGTAAAATCAATATCTGTTAACAATTATACTCCCAAACGATGTTCCAATGGTTGCTGCCGTGGATCTGTTAAAGGTGTGGTTCAAGGTAAAAATTAAATTTAAAGAAATGGCAACGATTATCTCACCAGTATCTTTAGGAGCAGCCATAATCGGTATCACAACCAAAGCTGCGCATCCTGCCATGAAAATTGCTGGCCATACTAACGAGACCTGGAATAAAAAGGAGCATAGATACGAGTAAATAATCGATCTGTACCAAATCGCAAAATGAGCCATGCGTCCGTTTGCAACGCAGATTCGCGGAAAGAATTAAAGGGCTTTGAGATTCGTACAAAACAACCTTTCACACAAGGCATCAAAAAATTAACTGCTTTCGCTTCTCAGGCATCGTTCTAGCACCACCGACAAACGTTCGATGGTTCCAATCACAAAAAATGAAGGTTTCACTCAATTGTTAGATCCCTTACCTTAATAGGCCTTTCAGCATCCGGCATTGTTTTTCGTAGATAGAATAGTGCAGCCATGGCCGCACCTATGGCCAACCAATAAGTGATTTGAATGTAGTTGATGAGCGAATAGACATTCTTTGACAAGACTAGGTAGCCGAGTGCTAGGCCTCCCTGAAATTGTGATGTTCTGTGGCAAACTAAGCTCCATCTCCTTTGAGTAGCTCCGCCCACTGGCTAAGAGACTTGCATGTGTTGGAGATGATCTCCAAACTTTGCCAATCATAAATTAATTGATTCTAATATCAACTGATGGTGAATAAAGAACTTACAGTGACTATCACTGCCGGTATAGGTGTTCGGGTATTCTTGTTGATCATCGTCAAAACTTGCGGCATCTGACCCTCTCGAGCTCCAACGTAGAATAATCTGAAGAGCGTACTTCATACAGAAACCACAATTTCTAGTCTATAATTTTCTCTATTTTATTGCGCAGTGCATTTCGAAATCCAACAGAAATACTCACGATGTGGTGGTTTGCCCCAGTGGAAAACCGTTAATCTTATATCAAATGCAGCTAACGAACAGAACGACCCCATTCCAGTACGATTTTTTTTTCATGGGCTCAGCTTTGTACCTTGTGTACGCTTCGCTACTATCAAACTCACCGATTTATTCAATCACAAAATATTTCAAATTTCCTCAGGGCAGTGGAAGAGCGATTCCCTTATCCTTCAATGGCCGAGTTATAAGATATAAGTATCTATCAGCTAAGTATTACATAACTGAGTAGCCGAAGAACCTTAAGTTTTTAGCGGAAAATGTATTGTCAGGAGTTATGCTTTGAAATAAGCAACATTTCGTTTTCTTCTGCAGTCTTTCTTTATTGCGGTAATTGGGAATGTCACGGGAAATTTCCCTGAAAGCGCAGAGTTGAAGGGAGTTTTTTAAAGGTTACCTTGATGACGTGAAAATCACGCCGTTTGCTGATCCAATGGTTGAACAGGCTACGAACAGTGGCATACAGAATGCGAAGGGACCAAACAGCTTGTTGGCGAACAACTGAAAAGAAAGGAAAACACTTGAAGAGATTTATCGCATCATTTGAAAGATCGGAAAAACAATAGGGTGGTCGGAAAGTTCCTAATCAACTTTTTCTTGTGAAAAATTCAAATACGAATCAAGTTGGAGACTTCGTCGACGTTTACCGCTCGACGATGCCAATAATCGATCAGTTTGTCGAATAATATCTTTCAGTAGCATGAGGACTGTGACGTAAGGTGGATAACATGATAAGGTGAGAGGCTGAAGAAGGGGAATATATCTGAAAGGCAGGCGTCCCCTTGAGAGTGCGGAACAATGCGATTTCTTAGGATTGGGTATGTCCCAGCGGCCTAGTGAGGCCATACCTGCGCCACTTGTGCGGCTGCCCTCCCACCTTCTCGCCGACTGACTATGGCCCTTTCGCAGAGTGAGAGGGTTGGCGCTGAATAGGGCAGCACCGATGAGAGTTGCATTAGTGCGAAAGCAGCGCGAAAGGGGCTCCAGTTCTCGGTTCTGGGCGTTTCTCATGGCTTTCGCCTCATCCGCGCACCACTGACAACCTTTACTTGACTCCTAAAACTGCCTTTTCATCGCAACCTCCGGCCGTTAAAAGATCGTCTAGTGTCTTCTGTACGATATTATCCATTCAAGCAGAGCTAGCAGTAGCCGAAGGATCACCTGTCAGTGCAGGCAGTGATATAACGGCTTCTGGACCCTAGTCTCGCCCTGTTCTCCAGGCTCTCGAGCTCCTTCCAGTCATTCCTGGGTAGAAATAAATTGATATCAGACGCAAGGCGGCCACTACGCAGCTACGCGTGCATCTGGAAGTGAGGAACCGATGAGCTGCCTGAACGTTGGGTGGTAGACGTAATAGACGCACCTCTCAACTACCTGTTTTCAGGACACCGGAGAGAAGATCTTTTCGACCGTCCTATCAGGAATGATATCACAGAAATCACTACGCAGATTAGTGAATGCTCATTCAACTTCAGAATTGGATTTTTTCATTTCAGAAGCAGAATTCTCAAAATATTTGATTAGGATTCGTACTCCTCTCAGCGCCGCAAGTTAGCCACTCATCACGCGCGCAACGTTTTTCATGACGTTGGCCTGTCAACCATTATAGGGCTGTCGGCAGCGAACACTTGAAAGTCCAGACAGAAAAGGCATGCTTTGGGCAATACTATGTAAAACTGAGCCTTTTAAAGGAAGAGAAGAAAGCAGAAGTGCTGTAAAAGTATGGTTCTATGAGAGGGCCCGAATAACACAACAGACCCTGAATCACTGAACCTAGCAGTCGACAAGTGCACTGGGACTCCAGTCGGGAATTTCGGCATTTTATGCCCGTGCTTGTTCACCGCATGCGGAGAACTGCACGTGCAAGTCCCACGTAGCAAGAATTGTAGAGAAAACTCGAAAGTGTCATGGAAATACAAGAGCCTGATAACATCCACCCACCACAGCTACCGCCGGGCTTTCAAGCATTTCATCTGGTGAAATGGCTGTATACAAAGCGACATTGGTGAGCACGTAGATAAGATTTCAACACATTTTTTGGTTAAACATTTGTTTCTGACAAAGATCGAAATTGCAATTGCCAATGGGAGATTCCTGAAAAATTGAATTTTAATGCCGAAGCAGATCATTAGGTACCAGAAAGAAATAAAGAAATACTATTGAGGTTCGAGGAATTGAAAGACTATTTGATCTAGTGCAAAGTCGTACTCGCACAAAAATTTGGTTCTCGGTAGAATGCACACCCTGGTTAGCCTCATACGCTAGCGCATTGCCAACTAGGCCCAGTGCCAATATACTGTGACTTTTACAAAGATGCTATTTGTCTGACTGGAGCCGTCAGGAATTTTAGAAGAACAATGAGAAAGCGAGATTTCTGAAAGTGTAGAGATAAGATTAACGGAATTTTGGAGAAATTCCAGCAAAGATTACGTATAATTCCTTCGTCGTTTACACCAGTCTGTACTATGAGTTCATCTCCAGGAGTTAGTTTCTGGCTAATAAATATTACGCCGAGGCGTGGGAAGAAAAGGAAGTGGGAAGCTAGAAAGGGCAAGAGGAGCAGAGAGGTCGTACCAGCTCGCTTGCCGCGAGTCTCCTCAATGAACGTGCAACACCCGTACGGTTCTAAATATTTTGCACATCAAGACTTGCTTCCAGCACTACTCAGTAGGTTCAGAATCCGTCTCAGCCGTACTATTAAACCAAAGGTCTTGCAGCTGCTATTACTTGCAATGAGTCGCATGATCAGAAAAGATAAAGCCCCACCCCGCAACGACTTTCTAGGCAATACGATTCGCTTTAATGTCATGCAATATTAAAACAGTAACACTCGACACTCAAGCCTCTCCTCGTTTCTTGAGGGAACAGAAAATAATGAAACAACGAAATTAGAAAATAAAGTGGAATTGAACCTTTTGGGAGTCTGACAACGCTTCCAACGCATGAAGTTCAAAAAATTCCATCCCGAATATGCAAAGAGTCCTGAGTAGAACGCGATGGATACGGTAGAGAAATCTTTGGAGGTGTTTTCGAAGATATTATCGAATGATTCACGGTATTCTGGCTTGCCTGCAACGAAACGCCTGTGAAATCGGAACTCGTGTGAACGTACTACTTCATACTGTACCTGTCAACAACAGCACCATTCCGGTGCCAATAATTAACACTAAGAGCCAACACTTTTGCAATGGTGAAGAAGTCTTGCACAAACGTTGCAACACGCACTGATATGCAATTGATGGCAGTCATCAGCACTAAAACAAACTGAATGATAGTAATCAAGAACTAATCAATAAATCGATAAGTAAGACCTAACGGAACGGTCTAACCGGTCTCACCAGTTTGTTAATTACATTTACCATTTGATAATTGATTAGAAATTTTTATGGGATGCGGATATGGGACACCGCATCACGACTCTAGCTAGCTCTCTATACTTCCTACACGTGTCGCAACAGCGACGGGGTCGTTTAAAGGAGGATTCTGCGATAAGGTCGAAGTTCGAGTAAGGGGGAAATTACTCAGGGGCAAGACAGACGGTTCCCTTACGGGTGCGGACTGGCACGCAGACTGCAGCAAAGGATATGCCCCCGGCGCTCAGCATACCCTTCCCCGCGGCGCCATTGGCGCGCTATCGACGCGGTACGCCTCCTCTCGCTGTCTGAGCCTCTAGCCGTTTAGCAGAGAGAGCGTTAGCGTTGAAGAGGGCAGCACCGATGAGAGTCGCATCAATGCGGAAATCAACGGGCAAGGAAGGGGTCCCATTTCTGGGTTCTAGCCGTTTTTCATGGTTTTTTCTTCATCCTGCACCACTGACCACCTCACCTCTACTTATTTCTAATGGGCTGCCTTCTTACGTAAACTACGCCTTTCAAGATCGCAACTTGCGTAACTTGCTGGCATTTACCAGTTGGTAGTGAATTACTACCACTCATAGACTAACCATAAGTAATGTGCTTAAAATCGACCTAAATGACGACCGCGCCGCAACCGCGCGCGACGTAGATCTTCATTTCTGACATGACGATTTAGGGAAACTGAAGACGTTTTTTCTCGAAACGTGTCAATATCACTATCAGTAGTTCAACGCTGTTGGAGAATTCAAAGTTCAGACGGAAACTTATTTATTCATTCGTTTCCTTAATCCCTTAGTTTTTCATTATTTATGGTTAAACCTGGGTTTATACTTCTAGATTGTTTGAAGGAAATAAAAATAACACGAACAAACAAATATATTTCTATCATATTCATTTTAAAACAATATACAAAAATGAAGGAAATACCTAGTCAGAAAAACAGCGAGCATTTCTGGTACAAGGTTTAGCCATCTGGTGGACACATTCGGATAAAAGGACGTAAATAATAGCGATATTGTCACGGGCCACGATTTTATCGGTACATGCTAAAATTAGAAATTTGCGTCTACGTGGCCATGATACAATCCCTGTGCACTCATCAAGAATGCTTAGGAAAAAGGGTAATTCAGGAAAGCCCAACAGCTCAAGATTCCGATTCGAGAAACGCCGCAATTAACTCCCATTAGTATTCACAGCTTTACAAAGCTGGATTCGGCCCATGCAGTGAACTTCTGGAGACAGCCAATGAGCGGTTCAGTGTTGCCCTCCTCTCAAGATTGGAAACTATTAGCTGACCCCGGCGTGAAGAAAGGCATGCTTGGCTCCGGCGAGATTCGATCCGGCTTCTGACACTTAGACCGTGTGAGTGCTATGCGACTCCACTTGCCACTACACCACTCGCCTCGAATGCATACATACCATGAATCGGCAGCTCATTATGTGGAACAAAAGCCTAATCAATATATATCGCCATGACAATTCTCGTCGCCCCGCAAGGTATCGATGCCCGTGGGACAAAAGTTCAGTACGCCGGATGGTCTGTTTGGCACGACGCGGTTTACATTTTGCTGCAAGTTTTACGCAACTGAATCGCGTGGCGTCATTTAACCGGCATCGGGGAGGTGACATAAGCACGCTCCAGAGCACGAACAGTTGACAAGGTAGCTAAAAACCCGCGTAAGTTACCGTGCGTGCGACACAGCCACGGCAAAGTGTCGGCCGTCCATTGTCAACCCTGTGAATCAAAGCAACAGTCCCACAAGCAGGGGTTTTTACCCTTCACACCGGCAGGTGGATACGATTCCAAGCTTAGTCAAGAACATAAAATTGAACTGAAATAAAAACCACTTAGAAAGCTGAAAGTAAAAGGGAGGCATGAATTGCTCGAATGGGCGTGACCGCTCCCACGGGCTGCAATCCCCCTCGACCAATCCCAACCACGGACCCACTTCCGAAGCCGTCAGCTCCACTTCCAGGCGGATCTCCAAGAAACAAAAAAAAAAAAAAAAAAAAAAAAAAAAAAAAAAAAAAAATAATTTTTTTTCGATCTAACTTTGAATCTCTTTACCAAGGCTAGCGCCGTCAGTTCCACGAAAAAACCCCTGCTGGGACTGTTGCTCTAGTGGTCGATTAATGATATGAATATCCTGATCTCGTGCGCAGGCAGGTGCTGCTTCCTCCAAACACAAAATTGGTGTACACAACTGCAATATTCTACAGACAAAAGGAGGAAAAAAGAAAAACCAGGCACTGTATTCATTTGAGACGAAGCAACTATCATCAAAAGGATAAAAAGGCAAAGCATGTGCCTATCATTGTCTTTCGAGGGACGCAACTGTATCTTGCTCGTAGCAAGAGATCACAGTAAAAAGCTGGGAAGATAAATCCTTGTGACACTTCAGTTTTCAGAACGATTCGATGCGGAAATTCCTGTACTCTTATGAACTGTGAGTACCAAATAACGAGGCCCAGATTCAATGCCAAGCTTTGCGAGATTCGACTATCGCCGTGAAGTAACATGGCGTCACTGATCACTAACACTTCCGCCAAATACTGTAGTCAATACATACAGATCTGGACAAACTACTAGTCGATGAATCTCACCTGACAACTATCGCCTCGATCCACAAGCGAATGAAAGCCAAGAACGGCCCGAAGGCCTCCATAATGTAGGCATAGTCACCACCCGACTTCTTGATCAGAGTTCCTGAAATTTTGAATACTCAAAAAAATCGACTACAAATCTGACGAAGAAAGATGATTACTTGTAGAAGAAAAACATTGGAATCTCTGAAAAACGGCTAAAAGTGCTAAGAAGTGGAAGAATTGGAACCATTCGCGCGTGAAATTTGACCGGATAAGAGATGATTGATGGGGCGGTTTGCAGGCGAAATAAAGAAACAAAAGCTTCTGGTCCCACCTAAAAGGCGTTTGAAGGGCGCAAAATACCGTTCAAACAGACTAATCAAAAAATAACAGAATCATGGTCCTTGAAGGAGTCAATCGCCGATCAAACAAGCTCAATCGGAAGCAACCTTATTAAAGGACGAATTCACGCTGGAAAGGCAACCCATTTCAAATTAACCCTAGCGATGGTGAGTGGTACACCAAAGAAGGAAATACCATGAGAAACGGCCCAGAACCCGAGAAATGGGACCCCTTCATTGCCCGTTGATTTGAGCATTGATGCGACTATCATCGCTGTGCCATCTTCAACACTACGCTCTCTCACCACAGGGTCAAGCGAGGCGTCGAGGAAAATTCGGAAATACGACCCCCCCCCTCCCTCTGCCGAAGGCCGAAGTCCATGAAACAACCCTCTTTAAAAGCCGAACTATGAAAAAGTTGTTTAATTCTCCACCAAAACTGCTCATAAAAAAGCCCTGCTACCCCATCGTCCACAAAAAAACTCGTTTAAAAAGTATAAAAGTGAAAAAGTCAAAAAGAATCATCATTGATGAGTCCTACCAAACGAGCAAACGAGAAACAGACCAAAAAACGACAAACTAGTCACTAAAAATGGCATACCATGACAACATCTCTTCTTTATTTATTTCCTCCACAAGACTTACCAAATTCTAGTACTACACAGATTATGGTTCTCAATTTACACGTCCCCCTTTCGCTCAAAGGAAGCCTTGTAAAAGCCTTCGCCAGCTGTGTGTTGACTGGACTTTGGCGTTGACCGTGGAGCAGCTTATTTACTATTGAAATTTGAACAAATATTCAAATGATTATAACTTTCTTCAAATATGACGAATTTTCAATCTGAAAGCATTTGGAAGTTTTGTGAAGAGCTTTTTCTAATCAGTATTGAAATTACAAAAAGTTATAAGAAATAACAAATTTAGATCAATTAACGAGGAAAATTCGAGATGAGCACGAGTTTTTACACTTTCCGAAGCAATAACTTGCTTCATTTTCGTCAAATTCGAAAAGTTAATATGGCAGACAAAACTAGAAGATTTTCTCTCTCAAACGGTCGCTAAAGCAGCTTCATACGTCCAGTACTCAAAAAATGGCCACGTTGAGGATTTTTGCAAAATTAACGAGGAAAATTCGTGATGAGTGCGAGTTTTTACGCTTTCCAAAGCCATAACTCCGTTCAAACTCATGCAATCTGGAAAGTTAATACGTCATCATAAACTAGAAGATTTGCTCTTTCTAAGGCAACTAAAACTGCTAAATACGTTCACTATTTAAAAAATGGCCACGTTGAGGATTTTTGCCCGAGTACCGCCGAAAGGTACTTTTTCGCTACATTAGCACTATCCCAACGACTATAGCTCCTTGCAGGAGCGATTACATACTGAAGTAGGAGCAGATTCAAAATCCTCGTGCTTTTCTCTCTGCAAAAAGTGTAAAATTGTTTAGCGGGTCTCAACTTTAAAGGTTACATGCTTGTGAATTTGACGCTGAAGGCTGCGTTTCTTGTTGAATAGTGTACTCCTCTCTGTAATTTAACATGAACTCTTTCAGAACCCTCTTGATTCTTCCTGAATTAAGATTCGTTATCAAGATAGCCGTAGCTGAAGCGCGCGCAACCAACTGGGCCCACTCTGGGATGCGCCGTGTGCTTCACATCTCGTTGGATTTGAGGACCTACTTGAAAGATAAAATATCCCTAGAAAAGCGTGCA